TGCTGGTGGAGAATACCCTGTCCCCATGCAGGATTATAAAAGTAATTCTTGGTGCCTTGGGGTTCTCAGGTAGGTGGTGAACTAGAAAAGTTAGGAGAGGTCTGAAAAAGCCTGTTGGTGGTCCGATCAGCAGAGGCACCCATTGTTCTGTGGTTAAGGATTGGTCAGAGCCATCTGGTATAAGGAATATCAAATTCCTTTATTTCACCAAAAATGCACATTTCGTAGCTTTATATTGCCACTTGTTCAGTTAAGGGTGATACATCAGTGTTTCTCATTCCCTGGTGGTCTAGGTCAGGTCAGAGTGAATGCAGTGGAAGACTTACCCTAACCTAGATCACCAGGGAATGAGACACAGCAATGTATCACCCATAACTGAATAAGTGGAAAATTAAAGCTACAAAATGTGTCTTTTTGGTGAAATAAAGCAATTTGATGTTCAATATACCAGATGACTCTGATCCATCCATAGCCTCTGCCACTCAGACCACCAATGGGCTTGTTTAGACTTTTCCTAGCTCACCTGACCCACTTCATGGTACACAGGGCAATCACACCTGTTTGGGGAACCAGTGCTATCCACTTAACTGTTAACTGTCTATTCATTAAGGGGATGCAGCAGCAAAAAATATGGAAGTGCCAAGCGTTATAACCCATGGCAAACAACCTGAAATCGTCTGAACTCACCAAGCTAAATAAAAGTGATTCAGTTGGGTGCAATGGCAAAATAAGAAAATTATGACCTTAAAATCTATTCTGCAAAGTAATAATAATTGTTACTTTTTTTTTAGACCTTGTCCAAAACTAATTTCAGTCTGCATCTTTGATCTTCATATATTGTTTCTAAGTAAACACAAGTACAATGCAGGGTTTTGTATTTGCTCTTTTTAATATGTTAAGCTTTTGTAGCTTTAATATCCCTATACAGTAACTTGACTCACTTTTCCGCTTGAGTGAGAGCTATTGGTTTATTATAAAGCTGTATGGGTTATTCAGTAAAAGAGTACAAAAGGCAATGTGGAATGCTAAAGTACTGTAACTCATTAACACCAGTTGGTTCAATTCACGTAAGATAGTGAACGACGAATTTTTGAATTTCGATAAGTTTCTGTAGGTTATTTAACATTCAAACTTGCTGTATTAACCACTTGAACCCTATAGCTACTGCTACAGGGTGGCAGTGCTGCGTAAAATCACATATATATATATGATTTGCATTTCCAGGTAGGGGGCGCGTGTGCTTGCCGCCCTACTCATGCCGCCATTGGCAGCTAGGGATGTAAACACTGCAGCTTTTGTGTGGTGTTCCCTGTCTGCAGTGGTCAGGACCAGGGGCGGACTGACCATTTGGGAACTTGGGCACTGCCCGAGGGCCCGGGGTCAGTAGGGGGCCCCATGAGATGGCCCTGGTATCTTTTTCATAGGCTATTTTGAGTTTTTTGAGTTTGGGCAAGGACACAGGGGCCCCATGATCCCCTATTGCCTGGGGGCTCCATGAGTTGTCAATCCACCCCTGGATGTAAATCACCAGGTCTGGCACCTGGCGATTGTCGGGGAAAGCTGACAGGGGAGAGACCTGTGTGGAAACAACACATGTCCCTTTCCTGTCAGCATGGACATGCTGTGTTGTATCTCTCTGCACAGCATGTCTCCAAAGTAAAACACACACAGCACACAGTTAACCCTTTGATCACCCCAGATGCTAACCCCTTCCTGCCCAGTGTCATTAGTGCAATGCTTTTTATTTGCACTGATCACTGTATAAGTGTCACTGGGGATGTCAGTGGCAGTTAGTCAGTTCCCTCTCAGTGTCAGAATGCCAACTGCAGTCCTGCAGTCCCACTATAAGATTGCCGCCATTACTAGTATACATTTTTTTAAATTACAGTATATACTGTATACCGCCATTTGTAGACGCTGTAAAGTTCACGTAAACCAATTGATTTACACGTATTGGGATTTTTTTTAGCAAAGATGTAGCAGAATACATTTTGGCCTAAATTTATGATGAAATTTGATTTTTTTAGATTTTTTTTATTGGATATGTTTTATAGCAAAAAGTCAAATATATATATTTTTTTCAAAATTGTCGGTCTTTTTTTGTTTGTAGCGCAAAAAAATAGAAAACGCAGAGGTGATCAATATACCACCAAAAGAAAGCTCTATTTGTAGGAAAAAAAAGGAAATAAATGTAATTTATGTACAGCACTGCATAACCGCGCTCTTGTCAGTTAAAGTAACTCAGCGACGTATCACAAAAAATGGCCGGGTCAGGAAGGGGGGTAATTCCTCTGGAGGGCAAGTGATTAAAAAACATTTATTTTAACGTAAGGTAAATGTTCTTTGTGACATGGGCTTGTTAGATGTACATCTGCTGTGTAGTGATTGCTCAGATGGTTGTGGTGACAGAGCAAGTTTACTTAAAATATTTCATTTATAGGTAAAATATGGTGGTCTGAGTCATCCTTCTGAAACATGACTCCCCCCCCCCCCACCACCACAGTTCACACCCCCCTTGGGAATGTTCCACCATTTTTTGGTTTTCTTTTTACTCATAATATCAAATTAAATAGCAGAAAGTGATAGTCCTGGTATGACTGTGTAGGTGTTCAGGCCTGGGGACTCATAGTAGAGATCTTATTACTGGAGACCACAAGAGAACTTACACAGGCAATTATCTGCCTGTGATTTCATTGGTGTGACTACGCAGTCAGAACATCTCCCATGGAACTCTACCCTAAGCAGGAAGCAGAACCTTAATATGCAATTTGCAAATACATATATTCGTGTATGTACATTACAGTAGAACCAAAAGCCAACCTCCAGCCATTATTTTTGCTTTGAATAATTTGAACGTTTTAGATTCCCTGCCAGATTTTATTGTTGAAGACTTCTGTTTACTTCTGGTCCAAGGATATAATCAGAAGTGAGGGGAAAAAATCCCACCTTCTACAGCTGAATAGGAAATACCATTGGGTGATGCAGCTCTAAGACTGGTAGTGGTGACACTTAAAAATTTTAGATGTCTATTCATTCTGTCCTAATAGTCCAAATAGCAAGGGTGAATCTCCTCAATGGGGAAGCTATACCAAACAGATGTTCTATCCTTTCCATACTTTCCAACTCATTCAAAAAACTAAAAAAAAAAATATGGCTAAAGTTCTACTGATTTTTATATGAACACTAATTTTATTTAATGTATGTCTTTTTAAAGGAAATTTGTCAAGAAAGAAAAACGTAGGCTACCACTGGAGACTTTTCTTCCTAAAATGTTAGCTATCTGGCTGTCATAATGCTTGAGCTTCAATACTTTGCACCAGTGATCTGGAACCAGGGGCGGACTGACCATTTGGAAACGTGGGCACTGCCCGAGGGCCCGGGGTCAGTAGGGGGCCCCATGAGATGCCCCTGGTACCTTTTTCATAGGCTTTTTTGAGTTTGGGCAAGGACACAGGGGCCCCATGAGCCCCTATTGCCCGGGGGCTCCATGAGCTGTCAGTCTGCCCCTGTCTGGAACATAAACATTTCAGACCTTTCTGATGCTTTTTTGCTGCATGCCAATTCCAGATTAGTGAGTAAGTATTAAAACTAGACAGCTAGCATTTTCAGAAGAAGACCAGCATTGGCAGCATGCAGATGGCACTTAAGACAGGTGAACTTTTAAAATCCTGAAATCATTCACCACATTACTATTTATGGTGAGGGATTTTTCAGGATGTCAGTGTTGTTGACGTAGGTCAGTAATAATGGGAAACTGTAGATTTCAGAAAGAATGTTTTGTTAAATGTGCTGACAGTAACTCCCACTTATCTCATGAGACCAGATATAATAGCGACTCTTCTCGGAACATTAGATGAACTTGGAAATAGCTGATGTGATGTTGTGGCCTTTCTCAGGGGACCTCCAGCTTCTGTTATCCTAACTCCTTAAGATGTTCTAATCTTGGAACTTGGCTTCTGCATATGTTTACATCACAAAATGATTACCTTGTGTATAAAAGCTATCCTTAGTGTTCTTCTTGCCTGTAGTAACAAGTTGGGTCCACCCTTCAGTCTCTATATCTCTACTGAAAAAAAATCACAGTTGGGAATTGAACCGGTACCGGAGCAAGGGTAGACGTTTCCTTTCAAACTCATCTGCAATAGCTGAAGAGCTTCATATTTTGTCTTGACTCCCAACTGGACACAGTCACACCCTTTGACACACTGGTCCTGTTCTCAAATGCCAAGGGTACTAGATAGCCAGGCCAGTGCTAAATTTGATATCGACTCCCCTTCAGATCCCAGAAGAAAATATTTTTATCCAGAAGATATGAAAAAATAGGTCAACTTGGGGTCTTTTGTAGTTATTGGCAAATTGTTTAAACTGAATTTGTACTTTACCCATGCATATTTTAATGCCAGACCTACCAGCTGATTATGATTCCCCTTCTATATATTTCTTGCTAGGAGCTTACACAGGCCTGAGCATTCCTTGCAGTGGCAGTGTGGAGGGCCTGAGGGCCAATCACTAACAAGGTCACATGGTAGATTGAAAGGGAGTTGCATACTCTCTCAAAGGTACAAGAACTTCACTTGTCTGGGTATAGAATAGATACAAAGAGGTGGACAAACAACTTGTCTTTACTATGCAAGTACACAAGGGCCTTCTGGGATTTTGAGGGATTTATATTAGATGTGGGCAGGTTGCCAGGTGCTAAACTCCTTCCCTCTGCCACATTGACCCAAAAACGGCTCACTGTTTCTGAACTCAATTTAATGGCCCATAAATATGTTTGTATTTGAGCATTAATTGAATGTGGCCTGTCCATGCACAGGGGTCCTTTGCTGACTACTTCCTCCACTATAGGAAAGTATCGGCATCTACAGGGGCGAGCCTTAAAGTGCCATGTAGAGCCAAAGCTTGTAGATTTTACATTGATTTGTCTAATAGATCTGTCCGGAATTAAGGTGTATGAGGTTCAATAAATACTTACTATATGTGTTCTATTCCAGATTACAATGTCTTCACCAGTGACCAACCAGCCCCAAGCCATGCAGGGCTACACTACCAGCCAATGGAGCACCAATGTTATGGACTGCTTTGAAGACATGGGCATCTGTATGTATTAAAGTGGCTTTACTATGTACACAAAAGGCATATTAATGAGTATCTATTTCTCTCTACCGTTTACAAATTGAGACATGGGTATGAATGGGCCTGTTGCATGAACATTTTCCAGTAGGCTGGCAATCTGGGTGCTCACTGGCTTTGACATGCTTTTTACCACTGAAATGCAGGAATGGAATTATTGTTGAAAAATGCAATAACTTAATAATTCCATGCCTGCACCTAACACCTGACCTCACCTAACAACTAACCTCCTCCACTCCTCCCGGCACTCCATCCCCCACAGCCATCTCCTCATGTGCCACCTTCCCCTCCCTCCTAGATTGTAAATTCGAAAGAGCAGAGCCCTCGAACCCCTCATGTATTGTATTGTTACTGTATTGTCTCAAGTTTTGCCCCCCCTGCTACTGTACAGCGCTGAGCATACCCATTGGCGCTATATAAATACTGTATAATAATAATATTAATATTTGGGCACTATAGGGTTAATTGCAGCCATTAGCCAGTATATAATCCCTGGAGGCTAGAGTAGATATCAAGTTGATGAAGGAAGTGTGGCTTGGCCTCTGAAATGTGTTGCTGATTGGCCACAGCGTCCTGGACATGTGACAGCTCCTTTGACAGTTTGAGTCTCCCGCGGCAGATCCCCATCTTGCCTGGATCCCTGCACCGCTTTACAGCGCTCTTGTCATCCCAGCGGCTCTGGTCAGGATTGGACTCTTTACTGGCAGCTCCACATGGAGCTTGTTATATGCATGTTACCAGTGACGTCTGTGAGTGCTTTACCACTGTATTTTAACTCTTTATACTGAATAAAACTTGCTATACTATCAGGGGTGGACTGACAACTCATGGGGCCCCTGGGCAATAGGGGATCATGGGGCCCCTGTGTCCTTGCCCAAACTCAAAAAAGCCTATGAAAAAGGTACCAGGGGCATCTCATGGGGCCCCCTACTGACCCCGGGCCCGCGGGCAGTGCCCGAGTTTCCAAATGGTCAGTCCACCCCTGTATACTATTAAATAAGATATAGTTCTGTTGCGCTTAGGTAAGTATACGTTGCAGTCCTAATTTATGAACCAATAACAAAACAAACAAAATACCATGTGGACCGCACATAAATTAAGTGCATTAAATATGACAATACATGAGTAATATTGCTTCATATATGCAAAGTGAATATTTGTAACATTCAGTCTCAATACGGTAACATAAAATGCCCGAGTGTTGAATACTAATTGGTGAACTTCGTGCAAAAAATGACAGGTGCTCCTCTGTGCTCAATCAGTGCTCCACATGGATGTGCACTCACTGTTAGCCATGGACCACCTATCTCTAGGTTGGTCTTAAGCACCTGGTTTGGGACTAGCCCAATACGTGATGGTAAGAATGGCACCAATATTAATTCCTGGCACTTTCTGATGATGATCTATTGATCGAAACCGGTTGAGGTTTGAAGACGCAACTTCCGCTGACATAATTTCTGCCCTTTGGAACGCATGCTGGGACGCAGCGACCATTTTGGTTTCCTAGGGTACTTCCCGATGATGATCTATTGAACAAAACTGGTCGAGGTTTGAAGACAAAACACATCCACTGATGTCATTTCTGCCCTTTGGAACGCATGCTGGGACGCAGCGACCATTTTGGTTCCTAGGGTACTTCTTGATGATGATCTATTGACCAAAACTGGTCGAGGTTTGAAGACGCAACTTGCGCTGACGTAATTTCTGCCCTTTGGAACGCATGCTGGGATGCAGCGACCATTTTGGTTCCTAGGGTACTTCTTGATGATGATCTATTGACCAAAACTGGTCGAGGTTTGAAGACGCAACTTGCGCTGACGTAATTTTCTGCCCTTTGGAACGCATGCTGGGATGCAGCGACCATTTTGGTTCCTAGGGTACTTCTTGATGATGATCTATTGACCAAAACTGATCGAGGTTTGAAGACACAACTTCCGCTGATGTCATTTCTGCCCTTTGGAATGCATGCTGGGATGCAGCGACCATCTTGGTTCCTAGGGCACTTCCTGATGATGATCTATTGACTGAAACGGGTCAAGGTTTGAAGACGCAACTTTTGCTGATGTCATTTCTGCGCTTTGGAACACACGCTGAGATGCGGCGACCATCTTGGTTCCTAACCACGGGCAGCAAGGCTGAATACACTGAGTGCCAGGTTATGGGCACTTTGCTTGTGAGTTTTATTCTTATAATTTCTCCCCATCATTAACGTTTTTTATGGTTTTACACTATGGGATGTTTGCTTTTGTTTCTGTTCACATGCTGAAACCTGGTTTACTGCCTGGGAGGAGAGGAAAAAGTTTAAAAGGCTCTTTTGAAACTACACTGTCATTTACCATATTTTTCGCTCCATAAGACGCACTTTTTTCCCCCCAAAAAAGGGGGGAAAATGTCAGTGCGTCTTATGGAGCGAATATAAAGCGGCCGGTCCGGTATTTCTGCCGCCACCATGTCAGAATACCGGGCCGGCCGCTCAGCTGTTCTCTCCTGCAGGGCCTTACCTGTTCCTCGCTCCAGCGCTGCACAGTCTTCCCGCTCTGGTTTCTGTGACAGCCGGGTGCCCACTGCGCATGTGCTGCGCTTTGTGAATGATCCGGTGTCTTCTGGGACACATGACAGGTCCCAGAAGGCGCCGGGCCATTCACAAAGCGCAGCGCTTCTCGCGCATGCGCAGTGGGCACCCGGCTGTCACAGAAGCCGGCCCGGGAAGAAGGAAGGAAGGACAACTCCGCGGAAGTGGGAGCGGGTACCTGTCAAATTCAGGTACCCGCTCCCCCTCCCTCCCCAAAGGTCAGCAGTCTCTGGTCATTCCCTGCACTGTCTGCAGTCTCTGGTCATTCCCTGCACTGTCTGCAGTCTCTGGTCATCCCCTGCACTGTGTCCACAGTGTCTGGTCATCCCCTGCACTGTGTCCGCAGTCTCTGGTCATCCCCTGCACTGTGTCTGCAGTCTCTGGTCATCCCCTGCACTGTGTCCGTAGTCTCTGGTCATCCCCTGCACTGTGTCCGCAGTCTCTGGTCATTCCCTGCACTGTCTGCAGTCTCTGGTCATCTCCTGTACTATGTCCGCAGTCTCTGGTCATCTCCTGTACTATGTCCGCAGTCTCTGGTCATCTCCTGTACTATGTCCGCAGTCTCTGGTCATCCCCTGTACTGTGTCTGCAGTCCATTGGTTCAGAATATTTTTTTTTTTTTGTTTTTCCCCCCTCTAAAACCTAAGTGCGTCTTATGGTCAGGTGCGTCTTATGGAGCGAAAAATACGGTATATCCATGCTGGTCATCATTCTTTTGGTTACTATCAGCCAGATCGCATGATTCCCAGGAATGAATATTGGTGCCATTCTTACCATCACGTATTGGGCTAGTCCCAAACCAGGTGCTTAAGACCAACCTAGAGATAGGTGGTCCACGGCTAACGGTGAGTGCACATCCATGTGGGGCACTGATTGAGCACAGAGGAGCACCTGTCATTTTTTGCACGAAGTTCACCAATTAGTATTCAACACTTGGGCACTTTATTTTTCCGTATTGGGACTGAATGTTACAATTATTCACTTTGCATATGTAGAGCAATATTACTCATGTATTGTCAAATTTAATGCACTTAATTTATGCGCGGTCCACATAGTATTTTGCTATATTGTTGGTGGCTTGGAGCCTTTATTTACTCCTTCCTTTCCTCTTTTACAGTGCTCGGGTGCCCAGCCCGTTCAGGAGGCAGCCAGCTGTGGCAGCAAAAGACTCATTAACTTTAGTCTATACCTTTGGGCTCATATACTATACATATTGTTGTCTTTTTTTTACTGCTGTTCTTTCACTTACAAGGGTGTCATTTTATGTGCACATGTTGATAGCTTACAGTTTAGCTCAACACTGTTCAATCTATTATACAGTAACTCCCTTATACACTATCTAGTCGTGGTTATACACAGGGGCGGACTGACAACTCATGGGGCCCCCGGGCAATAGGGGATCATGGGGCCCCTGTGTCCTTGCCCAAACTCAAAAAAGCCTATAAAAAAGGTACCAGGGGCACCTCATGGGGCCCCCTACTGACCACGGGCCCTCGGGCAGTGCCGGAGTTTCCAAATGGTCAGTCCGCCCCTGGTTGTATAACATCTATCTCTTGATTGCAGCAAGTGTAGCTCAGAGTGCTGGTAGTTTTCACTTGCCCCCTTGCCCCACACTTGCCCCACACTGGTGCGCTGGCATTCATTTTGAATGGCATTGTGGTGTGATGCATTACAGTTTCCCTGTGTTTAAAATTAAATTCCAATTTGGACGTTAAAGCGGAGTTCCACTAAAATGTGGAAGCTCCGCTTATTCCCCCCCTCCACTGCCATAGTTGGCACCTTTTGGGGGGGGGGGAGCGGGTTCCTAGTTTTGACAGGTACCCGCTCCCACTTCCAACTCAGTTCACCGCGGCGAAGTGAGCTGGAAGTTTGACTCCCTCCTCCCTCCCTGTAATCTCCTGGGAACTTTCATAGGTCCAAGGAGACTGCCGGACTAATTAGAACTCGTGCATGCGCAGTGGGCACCGTGAAGCCACAAGCTGTCACAGCCTGGTGCCCACAGTTGAGATGCCGGCACCGTGGAGGAAAGAAGGGTAGAAGGGACGGCACAGGTGAGTACATCGCTGGACTCCAGGACAGGTAAGTGTGTGTTTATTAAAAGTCAGCAGCTACAGTTTTTGTAGCTGCTGACTTTTAATAAACACAAAAACTGCTGGATCTCTGCTTTAAAGACAAAAAGTGGATTCCTCAGCAGCTCCCAAAAACAAACAAGTATCCCCATAGTGCAATACTCACCTGATCTCCAGTGCTGTTACCTACAGGCTCGCTAATTCAGCATTGTGGCACCACTCCTCCAACTGAAATGATACCCAGCATGCTTCAACCCACTTTCTAGAGCTCTTTTTACCTTTCTTTCATTAACCTAAAGTTCTTCTCTCTTGCAGGCCTTTGCGGAACATTTGTCCCTTGCATTTTGGCATGCAGAGTAGCTACAGACTATGGGGAGTGCTGCTGCTTGCCACTTGTGTTTGGTACCACGCTGGCCATGCGCACTGGCATAAGAGAACGATACCACATCCCGGTACGGATCAGACTAAAGCATAACGCACACAGTCATTTCTTCTGTTTTTGCTAATAAAGTTGAACTAAACTTTATCTGAGAACCACAAACTGATAATGCTATTTAATTCACTTTTACTATTCAAAGCAAACTCACTCACTCCATCCATGTCTCTATGCTTTATTTTGTTGAGAAATCACATTGAAAAATATCCCACTAGCATTTCTAGCTGCAGCCATCTTTAGTAAGGGCAAATGATTTGTGTAGCATTTACTTCCTGGAATCTATCTGCCCTTAACTCAGGCATGCAGGAAGGAGAGGGGGGGAAAGATTAACTGAGAAAGCCCTCCTCCAGATAAAAATAAAAGACTCCTGGGGTTTATGACATCATTTTGGTCTAGGCCAGAAACCAAGAAGCAACTGAAGAAATGTAATAAAAAAGTTGAAAGCAAGGAAACATAATATACCTTCCAATCTATTTACTAATACTAGCAGCATACATTTAAAAAATTATTAATGTTGTTTGAGAGAGCTCAGTTCTGCTTTAAAATTTGTTTTTTGTTTTTTTTGATATACTGAATTTTATAGTGGTTTTGTGTATATTTTTATGATTTGTTTATTTCAGGTACTTATATATTGCCGTCAATTTACAAAGCGCTTTTACATATATATTATACATTCATATCAGTCCCTGATCCTCAAGGGGCGTACAATCTAAGGTCCCTAACTCACATTCATACATACATATACTAGGGACAATTTAGACAGGAGCCAATTAACCTATCAGCATGTCTTTGTGTGGGAGGAAACCGGAGTACCCGGAGGAAACCCACGCAGGCACAGGGAGAACATGCAAACACCAGGCAGGTGGTGCCATTATAGTCAGGATTAAAAAAAAAATTAATTCTTAAAGTGTAACTGTATTTTTGTACAGCTCTTTCAATGATCTCATACGATCTGCTGCAGTCAATGTTCCTGCTGGTCGACAGCTGCTCTGATTATTTAGCCCCTGACTTCTGTAACACTAACTACCACTTATGCCGGACAGCTTGGCCTGTTAAAGAAAGTGATAAAATAACAGATCTACTAGCAGGATCAATATGTAATACTAAAAATGTTGGGTGGGTGGAAACAAATATTATAGTGCTATTGACAAACTGCATCATGTATGTATTTTTTTTATTATTTTGCCCATAGTTCCACTTTATATCTTCTTTCCTTTTGGAACCATGCTAATTTTTAAAATAATTCTTCATAGGTCTATCTTTTCATAATAGTCCGTGATGTCTCTGTCTTTCAGGGAACTATCTGTAATGACTGGGTGTGCGTCACATTCTGCGGACAGTGCACCCTCTGTCAGATGGCGCGTGAGCTGAAGGCCAGGAAATGATGAACCATTAGCATGATGGTGTCATGGCGGGCATCTATGGACAATTTTCATCTTTAACATAACCTGAAAAAAAAAAAACACTGAAATTTCATTGAAATGTCCGTCACCACTGACCCCCCTTCCCTATCAACATCTGGCAGCACTACGGAGAGGACTGTGATTTTGCGTGGACACTACATTATTTAATTTTAGTGGTAATTTCTCTATTTTCTAAGAAAATTAATTTTGTGGAACAATTTATGGCTTTGTAAGGAAAAATTGGACACTCTTGTTGGGAAGTTTTGTCAATGAAGATATACGAAACTAGTGTGTGGTTCAAGCTGTCAGCATCCATAGAAAACTGAATATAAAGTTGGGGTAAAATTTACCTTTAAAGGGATATGTAAAGGGCAACAGCCAACAATAACCAAACATTTCACTTTACTGCTTCCTCTACACCAGCCATTCTCAACCAGGGTTCCTCCAGAGATACCTGACCTGTAATTGATTGTCCTCCTGTCTGATGGTGCCTGCATAGTTCCAGATCCAATGCCATTTGAAAAGCCAGCAGCATGACCCCAATGATCTTTTTGGATATCTGTAAGAGTGGCATTCTGACCACCACTGTAAGGGTTACATTCTTTCTATTTACCACCAATGTAAGGTACATTTTTCCTAATGACCCCCAATGAATTGGTTTTAGTAGGTGTTTCCCAGAGAACTGAACATTGTTATAGGGGTTCCTCTAGGGCACAGGTGTCAAACTGGTGGCCCTCCAGCTGTTGCCAAACTACAAGTCCTATGAGGCATTGCAAGATTGACAGTTACAAGCATGACTCCCAAAGGCAGAATCATGATGAGACGTCTAGTTTCACAACAGCTGGAGGACCACCAGTTTGACATTCCAGCTCTAGGGTAATAAGGGTGAGAAAGGCTGGTCTACACTAATTTAAAGTAAAAGTTCTTGCTTTTACTGCTTAAGGTAACTGCTTAAAACACTATTCCCAATGGAATAGTGCCTTTGATGCAACAAATTCAGATTTTAGTGGTTAATTTTTCTGTATATTATGACATTCTTTCTTTCACATTGATGTATATGGCCATCAGTTATTGATGAGTATTCTACACTAAAGCATCCTTCCAAAATAATCAATGATTTACAAAGATAACATGGTGCTGCTAATGCAAAAAAAAAAAAAAAAAAAATCAGGTGCTTCCCTCAGTTTTTTTCTCTAGGAAAAGGAAAGTTCTATTCTGCTTGCTGTAGGTACCACCATATATTTATACTTTTTGAAACTTGTGTGTATAAGACTTTCGTAACACCTAACTGTACAGAGATTAATAGACTGATTTTCTTTTAAACTGCACGCATAGATTTCTATTTTTGTTAAAATAAATAAAGTTATTACAAATAAAGTTTTTACAAATATTGCTTGGCATAGAACTGAATTTTTAGTGTTTTGCACCCATCTAGCCAGATCCACATCTATAAATTAACTTAAACTTAATCAATAAAATCTGGCGTAAGCTTTCACTCCTTAATATACTGTAAGTACATATTTAATATTTCAAAATCTAAAATGTTTCTTAGAATTATATCTGCCATGGAGATCCTTGTTGTTTGTAGATCTCTTTTGAGGCTACAATAGGCTCTTTTACATTATTTTCACCTGGTGGTCAAGCCAGTGACATACCTCCTGACCTAGGGTGACAATGGTACTCACTAATATTACATCTATGGTGGGGCAATGTTGTCACTCTAGGAGGGGACTACAAACACATTCCCTTCTAAAACATAGAGGGCAATGGTTCTATAGTCCTCAGATAACAGGGAAAAATGCTAACATACAGCAGGAGCAGAAGTTGTTATCAGCTCACTCTGTTTTTGGCGGAATCCACAGGTGTTGTTTTTGAACAGATATAACAAAATTGGTTCAATGGAATATTCATCAGACAAAAGGGATCAAATAAGACAAGTTCACTTTTAAGGTTCACGTACTTCAAACATTCAGCAAAACTGATGAAATGAGTACCCAATGGTGTAAAAAGATGATCACAAGTATCCTACCTCTCCAGGGCAATGCATTTCAAGGTGTGACCTCTTTTTCAAGTCCTCCCTTTTGGATTTCTCACTTTGGACAGTTGGTCTGGAGTGGCACATGTTGGTTGTTTCTCTTTTATACAAGTGAAAAGTAACACAACTGGTATTATTGGTGGCACTGAAGAATTATATGGTTTACACCTAACCAGGTACCCCGTTTGAGCATATTCCCTATACTCTATGCCCTGTTTATTTTTGGGATTTCTTCTTTCTAGTTCAACATCCACTCTGTTGAGAGATACAGCGGCAAAAGAATGGGACATTAACTGTGTACTGTACATGATTAATTGCCATTACTTGCTTTTGAATGCTTTTTCTAGATTAAGGGAGTGGGCACGTGCTCTTATAGTTTTCATGCATATCTAAATGTTGTCTTTGCTGAAAAAAAACTGAAAAGTATATCAAATGGCATAGGAGTGGCTGCCATTGGAGGAAATGCCAGGACTATTATTAGGTTTCCTTGGGGGACAGCTCTCTAGTTTTGGCCATTCAGATAAATGCTTCATGCAACTGTAACAATACTCATCACTAACCAATACAGGAAGACCTGCCCATAGGAAATGAGGTCCCAGTTTCCACTGCCACACTGAAAGAATTGTAGGAATGGATCCAAAGTACAACTGTGAGTCCAAGTTTTGCCAGCCACTTCACTACCTCTTATGCGTCCTGCATAGCATGGCCACTCTGAGATGAAAAATGCAGATGTTCCATACTTCTAGATGGGGTGGCTTGACCACCTCTTTTTCCTTCACAACCTGCTTTCCCCCTTATTACCCCTGTGTGCAGAACCTCTCCCTCTCACTTTAGGCCTGTCTGAACTTTTATTAATAGGGGATTAATTAAATTAAAATTGCAGCTATGACAATAGTGAAGGATACATTTGTGGTGCTGGAATCCAAGGGAAGCAACTGTGTCAGCAAGACATGTATGTTGTGGAGTTTGCAATAAAAAGAAAGTCCCTAGCAAAAAAAAAATAAATTAAATAGATCTCCCCTAGAAAACATAAACCCTGATTTGGCAAAGGGTGGGCATAGGTTTTTACTCTGAAGTTATGCCTCCAATGCCTTGAAGTGGTTCTAAAGCCTTAAGGTTTTTTTACCTTAATGTGTTCTACGCATTAAAGTATAAAAAACCTTATGTACTGCAGGGTACTCCAGACCCCCTTATACTTACCTGATCCCGATCCCAATCCAGTGATGTGCATGAGAGCAGCAGCTCTTGCCACTGTCTCCCTCCTAACTGGGCAGATTGACAGCAGCGGGAGCCATTGGTTACCACTACTGTCAATCAAATGCTGTGACAATGGAGTGGGGCCAAGCCGCCTGGTCTGTGTGAAGCAGCTTTCTTTGGGGACACTCACCAGAGTGGAGAAGCCTGGAGTGCCAATGGGGGACCCCAGAAGAGGAGGATCAGGGCTGTTCTATGTAATACCATTGCACAGAGCAGGTAAGTATAACACATTTATTATTTTATTTTTTAAAAATGAAGCTTCAATGTTACATTAACTATAATTAATTAACTTACCTGGAAGAGAAAGATTATTATTATTATACAGGATTTATATAGCGCCAACAGTTTGCGCAGTGCTTTACAATACAAGGGAGACAGTACAATTACAATTCATTTCAGTACAGAAGGAATATGAGGGCCCGTCTCATGGAGCTTACAATCTAAAGGAAGGGGGAGGTGATACAAAAGGTGATAGCTGTGGGGGGATTATCTGGTGGAGGTGATTCGTTCTTGCAAGGCATTGAAATTGCAGACTTGCCAGGCTTCTCCTGTGTGCAGCCCAACCACCACATCTATACTAAAAAAAAATGCAGAAAAAAATACATATCAAAATGAATATTAATAAAAAAAAAAAAATAAGTTAAGTAAAAAAAAAAAAAAAAAAAAAAAAAGTGTGGATGGGTATCTGCCATTCTGGGGCAAACCAAGCCAGGAAATTTCCACTAGATTTTATAGGTTACAGGTTTCAATGAAAAGAGCTTTAAAAAAGTTGGACTCATGCCACTGGACCTTGGTATGGTTATTTTGTAGCTGTTTTTTGTTTTTTGCAGCTACAAATGGCAATTGATACCTGCTGTCATCTGGAGCTGCACTGTCAATCCACTGTACAATATTTGTAGTTATTGTCTTGCAAATATGACATTGTAATTACCATTTCAAAATAAAACCTGTCTCTTTCGCTCCCCTATACTGCTTCCTAACCAAGTTACCTACATGCTGTCCAGCCATTGAACAACATTTGTTGCTTTTGTCTTTTAAATAATACACTGTAATTTATATTTCAAGATACAACCTTTCTTCTCTCTCCCTCTCCCTCTCTCTCCCTCTCCCTCTCCCTCTCCCTCTCTCTCTGTCTCATACTGCTGCCTAACCAAGTTGCTTACATAGGTGTGAATGTGCTTTTAGTGAAAATTTACATAGTGTGGAATAATCAATTTGTAATCTGCCACACCCATAATGTACAAATAAAAAAAGGATAAGGGAAACATAGCCCCACCTAGGCTCTAAAGCCTAGTACACACAATCAGATCTTACAAAAAATACTGCTTTTGAAGTGATCATATGATAATCTGATCATTAGTACACCGCTTTCATCTTAAAATATGTGAAGGGACAAACACAACATTTTTTCTCATACAATACCAGATCGTACATAATTTTTGTTTAATTAGTACAGGTTTTGTCCAAAAATACAACACAAATACTTTACATCACTTCTGAATTTTCTTTCTGTTGTACAAGAATTTTCGTAACTTTAGTAACCTCTTTACTTTCGATATGAGACTAGCATGCAAAAAAAAACAGATGATCATTCATCCAATTCTTTCATTGTGTGTAAGGGTCTTAAATCACAAAACTGATAAAGAGGATTGGGTGAAGCTGAACTCTTAAAGGAAAAGATAGATATTGC